AGACCTGATTCAGGATTTAACATTGACCAGGAGAGTCGATGAAACTGTTTCCTTCAGCTGTCGAGAAACTAACCAGTGTGGCAGTGATTATGTTTACTGGTACCAGAAGAAAGACACAGAAACATTCACAAGGATTCTTGCTATTGATAAGAGTAATTGTCGCATAGCTAACAGGTACAATCATCCTCAGAAAAATGATTTCTCAGCTGTGAATAATCAGAACGGCTGTGAGTTGCAGATCCAGAAAGTTAACACCTCTCATTCAGCCACCTACTACTGCTACTGTGAGAAGAGTGGTCTCCACAGTGAGAAATGATCCGTGCAGCCTGAACAAAAACCAGCAGATGTCAAACAGTGTTTGTGACAGGAAGAGAGCAGTAAACCACAGCCCAGGTTCACATATTTCACCTCCATCTCAGCCAGAGTCACAAACATACTGAGCTGAGGGATTTCTTTAATATTCTATTGATTTCTATTTGATCAGATATTCCAGCAGGTTTCTTGTTGTTCCACACAGTGAGGACAAACTAGCAGCACAGAAGCACAATGAGCAAACAAGATAAAGAGGAAACTAAATAAAAATATAATCCTGATTCACTTTATGAAGTAATCCTTAAAGTAAATGATATATAATAGATAAAGTTTCCAGCCAGATGTTCCAGATGCAGATTAAAGTCGTCCTCTTTGTTCTGCTGCTGGAATAAAGTCCATTCCTCCCTCACAATACTAATCTGCTCTGAATGAAAACCCTTCCAGCAGCACTTGTTGTTTAACAGCTTTCAGTAGATTTCAGCAGATCATTTCACTTTCTTCCATTTTAAAAGCCAAATCTTGGACACATGTCAGGTCAGGATGTTGCCCTTCTAGCAGCGGCTTATTAGGACGCTGGTTCTGTTGCCAGGTTTCCATAAATGTCCTGTGGATGTTTCTGCTTCCCAGAGGATGAATCCTAACATTTATGGTGACCTCCTGACCTTTCCTCTAGCGCCACCATCAGGACAACAGTTTCTCTACACCAACACTTCAGCATCTTCAAAGTTAACGGCTTGATTTTTGATCAACTCACTGAAAACTTTATCTGGAATATTTACTGACACACTGTAAACCGTTTTACTCTCCCTGCGAGTTTGCTTCCTACTTTCTGCTCGGTGTTTATATTCCACCGCAGGCCGACGTGCACGACGCACAGCGCACGCTGGCCGACCAGATACTGCGAGTAGAGCGACTAACCTGGACTCCCTTTTTATTGTTCTTGGTGACTTTAAGGAAGGAAACCTCAGCCATGAACTCCCCAAATACAGTCAGTTTGTTAAATGAGACCAGAACATTCTGGATAACTCAAGTCCAGGATTAGCAAGGCGTCCCCCTTGGACTCTGCGTTGTGTTTCTAACATGTGGTGGGGAGAGAAGAAAACAGAGGTGGGTAGTAAAGAGTTACATTTACTCTATTAATTGAGTAGATTTTTACAGAAAAGTTTTACTCCACTACATTTGAGACATTCATTGCACTACTTCCCTATTTATTTATTTCCCATTCCAACCGTGTGCCATGGCGCTGTTGGTCCTGCAGTTACCACCACAGGCTCTTTGGTTTGCTTGTTCCTGTGTTTTTGACGTGTCACATCTGCTTATTAGTTTCTCAATGTCCTTGTTTATTCCAGGCCAGAAAACTGTGTCTCTCGCTCGTCTTTTGCATTTCTCGACACCAAGATGACCTTCATGGATCCCGTGTAGTATGTCCTGTCTCATCTTTTCTGGAATAACAATGATGTGGTAGAACTGTGGACAGGAGCCCACAGGCCATCCATTTTTCATGTTCTCAATGACTCACTGCAGCTCCGTATCTTTTGAAGTTTCATGAGCTATTTGTCTGGACTTTTCATCTGACACAGGAAGTGCAGAAGACACCATGTTCACGTGATCTTGAACGTCCTCTGCAAATCTGCAATTATCAGGTGGAGATCAGCTCAAAGTCATATCTCTGCTTTTTCATCATCAAACGCTGAATCCTTGGCGACATCTCGCTCAGATTCTTTTTGACCATGGCGACTAGCGGGCGATGGTCTGTTTCCACCGTGAAAGATGGTAGGTCATAAATGTAGCTGTGGAACCGCTCCAGGCCAAACACAAGTCCCAGGCATTCTTTTTCTATTTGAGCGTATCTACACTCAGTCTCTGTCATGGATCTGGATGCATAGGCTACTGGTTTCCAGTGCTCACCTTCAGCTCGTAAAAGTACTGCACCAATCCCGTTCTTTGAGGCGTCTGTCGACACTTTGATCCTCTTCGCCGGGTCGTAGAATGCCAATACAGGTGCAGTTGTCAGGGTTTCTCTGAGCTTTTGCCGTTCATGCTGAGAGATTATGATAGCATGATTTGTGTATTACTCAGGGGAACCACTAGTATTGTGTTTTCTTATATTGATCTCTGATGTATTTTATAGGTAGAAGTTTATATGTTGGTTTATTTGAACCTGGGTCTCTCACACCAAAGCCATGGTCTTATCCATTGCGCCATCGCCACCCTGCCCTGTTGATTACTCTGCATGATCAGATAAGGACACTTACTTAGCACCAATGGGTGAGGGGTAATTTGGAATGTGGTACAAAACATCTCTTCTCCAAGATATCTTATTTCAGGAGTTACGCTTGTAATCTGCCCAGCAACAGCATGGTGATTGATGGAGTCAGAGGACAAACATTGGGGTCAGAGGACTTGGGCCAATCATGGACTGACCTACACTTTTGTTTTATTGTTTTGTGACGTGACGATGTATACTAAAACACTGGGTCAGGGAGAGATAACCAGTCAGACTTCATGAACTGATACAGCTTGTTGTTTGTCAGAGAAAGTAAGATCGACCCAGAGCTCTGTAACCTTTATTCATTTATTTGTAATTAAACTGATTAACTTGGACCAAAAACATCTTCTCCTATTGCTTCATGAAAGAACACGCAGGACCAAGGACTACATATAGTTTAAAAAGGGTCATTTAAAGTCACGGTCCAACAATGCTCATGTCTGCTTGTCCACTTGAACTCAATCTCTTTGTGTAGGAGTTCACGGATGCAGGATGTTTTTGCTGATAGATTGGGAATGAATTTCCTTATGAAGTTGACGATCCCCATGATGCGTAGCACTCCAGCCTTGTCTGTAGGCCTTGGCATGTCTTTTATAGCATCAACTTTTTCTTGGTCAGGTTGAATGCCGTGTGCAGAAAGCTTATCTCCAGGAAAAACAATTTCTTGAACTCCAAACTGGCATTTACTCTTGTTTAGCTTTAGTCCATACTTGCGTATTCGCTCCAGCACTTTTGTCAGACTCACATTGTGCTCCTGGAGTGTGGAGCCCCACACAATGACGTCATCAGCATACACCCGGACTGCGTCTAATCCCTCGATGATGTGCTCCATAGCTCTGTGAAATATCTCTGATGCTGAGATGATGCCAAAGGGCAATCTGAGGAAGCGGTAACTGCCGAAAGGTGTATTGAAGGTGCAGTATTTGGTGCTGCTTTCATCCAACTTCAGCTGCCAGAAGCCTTGTGATGCATCAAGCTTTGAAAAATATCTGGCACCCATCATCTCACTCGAGACTTCTTCACGCTTTGGTATCTGGTAATGTTCCCGCTTAATATTCTCGTTCAGATCTTTTGGGTCCATGCATATCCTCAGGTCGCCCTTCTTTTTCTTTGCACATACCATGGAGTTTACCCAGTCGGTGAGTTCTTCAACCTTCTTTATCACACCCAGCGTCGTCATCCTGTCCACTTCCTTTTTTAAACGGTCTCTCAGCGGTGCTGGAACACTTTGTGCAGCATGCACTACTGGTTGTACATTTTCTCTTAACTGGATTTTGTATGTGAAGGGCAGTGCACCAAAACCTCTGAAAACATCTACAAAGTTCTGTGTATTGGAGTCAACAGTGTCACTTGGTGGTTCTTGCCCTGGCAATTAGAGCATAGCTTACCAAAGGCAGGCCACTGTTTGGGGTTGAATGTTCGATCGTCTGTCTGCTGCGCAAGGCGTCTCCGTCCCTCACTTGAGACAACACTTACAGCGGCGCCATCACCCACACTCACTGCGCTCACCGCTAACTCGCTGAATGTCCTCACGTGCATTTACGAGAGTTCACTTGCCTGGCAGATCTTGACGGCCCCTTCCAGCGTCAGCTCCGTTTCCCGCAGTAGCCTTTCCTCCACACCAAACACGACCTGGTCTCGGAGCATGGAGTCCTTCAGTGTAGCAAAGTTGCATGACTGTGCTTTGAGCTTCAAGTCGGTCAGAAAGCTATCAAAGGGTTCACGCTACTGCTGCACCCGGGAACGAAAAACATATCTCTCGTATGTCTCGTTCTTTTTTGGAGAGCAGTGGGCATCAAACTTTTCCAGCACTTTATCAAGTTTGTCTTTGTCATCTTCACTGTCGTATACGACATACGTATACTTGTTCCCACAAACCACCACTGACACCGTTTGGTACAATGTGGAATTACACCTAATCATCACACCTGGGTCATCCAGGGCGTCGGCATGTCCCCCTTCATCATCGTCACTGATCAGGAGGGAGGCCCCTTTCTGCAGATTGGTTGTGAAGGCGGTGGAGCTCTGGTGACCCCTTTCCTCCGGTGCACAAGCATCGCATCAAAGTTTGTTTTTTTCCCCACCAACAACTTCAGCTTCACCAAAAGGAACGTCAGTGTCACTGAGTTAAATTTCTTTTTGTAGCTTCTCTGTCAGGCGAGCAGACGAGGAACGGGAAAAAGCCTCGGCAGTCCCGATGCACTCGGAGACGTCACGCTGGGCGCCCCATGCCCGAGCCACGGGGAGAGCGCATCCGGCCGTCTTCGGAGAAAAGAGCCGCACGGGACCTCAGCGCCCTCAGGGGCAGGGCCTCGCAATGGCCGCAAGCGGCCCCCTCGAGAGCTGCCTGGGCGTGCGGCATCCCCAGACAAGACGCACACAGGGCACGAGTGTCCCCAGCCGTGATGTTGACGCGGGCATGGGAAACACACTGCCTGAACTGCTCACCAGCCATCTCCTCTGCCAGACTTCCTTCCAGGTGAGAAATTTCCTCTCGTGGTTGCCGAATAGAAGCTAATGTGTCCGGTGTGCCGGCGTGCTTATATACGCCTCCAGTTACGCCGTCACACGCTACCGTTCTAGCAACGGCAATAGGATAGGAGTAGTTTCACTCATGGTTTCAGCCCTGCCACGCCCAGAGGCGTTCCCATAGTGTCGTCACCGACGCAGTTCGAGTTCCCTCGAAGGGGAATGAGGTAGTGCAAAGTCAACTTTATACCAAAAAACATTCAGTGCAAAAAAATGATCTAAAAACAATACAAATGTTTTTAATATTAAGATGTCTGTGAAGTTAAATAAAAATATTATGAACATAAAAATAAATCTAAGTTAATATAAGGGTAAAACTAAATAGAGCTAAAGTTTTATCCTGCACTATTTCCACAGAATAAATGCTCGGTACACAGCAAGCTGGCAAAAATTACAGCCAACACTTCAGAGCAAAACACGAGTGCTTCTTACTCAAACCCACACCAAAGTGTATCTTAATATCTTAATAACACAAACATGAACAGATTAACTGGAGGGGGGTCACAGTGTCTGACTCAGTTGTGTTTCTCCATTCTGCCTCTCTGTCCTCATTCCCATCACCTGACCTCCCCGCCCACCTGCTCACCTGTTCCTCATTTCCCTCACAAAGCTCAGTGTATAGTTTTTTGTCGAATCTCCTCCTTAGGTACGCTGTAGCCTATGCATAGCCACGTGTGGAGAATATTTCTTAAGGGGCTTTGTTGATGTGACAGGGAAAAGTAAGACAGCTCTAGCTTAGAGTAATTTAGCTGACCCCATAAGTGTTTTCTGACATTCTAGCTTTAGGTGTTTCTCACATGTACTTAGACTCATTAGTTAGAGACAGTAGCTCAGGCGTCAGGCTGGCAGATATCAGTGTTCTCTGGGAATCTTACAAGAATATTTACAAGAACTCACTGGCTCCACAGATCAGAGAACCACTCATGGATAGTGAGAGATTCCAATATGACGAAGCATTGGAGTCTAAACATCAGATAGATCAGTTGTAGGTGAAAGAAGACCTAATAGAGAAACCTACAGGCACTGGGGGGAAGAAAGAAACATAAAAGGGACCACCAGATGTTCTCCTTCAGATTTGGTGTTGGCATGTGACGTGATCACATGTTGTATGCTGGCGCTGTGTCTCCTCGGCCCGGCTCAATAAACCACACTATGTTAAGTCTTCATCAGTCTCTGAAACTTCTTCACACCTGAACCTGACTCACAATATTTCTTCAACACCGCATACTCTGCACAGTGGCCTGACACGCACACGCCCAAAGATTTAACTACATGTCGCAGACCACAAGAACTGTGATTGGTCGGCTGGTAGCATCACATTTCCTCCTACGCATTTCGTTTTTCTTCTTCCTCGACCGGTTTAAGGGTCGTACAAACCTCTCCTCAGACACCTTCTCTCGTCTCTGTGTTTCAGTGAGTAATTTCACTAAAAGTAACTGCTGTTCAACATCGATCAGCTCCAACTCCAACATGATCCGCTCACTTTCAGTCGCCATTGGAGTATAAATTGGACTTTAGTCTGGTTGTATATATAACGACACATTTGCACCAACGCTTTGCCAGATTGTCTGGTTTGTTCCTGTCCAGCCTTTGGTTCTCTGTCTGCCCCCTTTTTGGATAAGTCCTGACTGTCGACTTGGTTTTAATCCTTTTGTTAAGTGAACTTTCATCTCAACCTGTCTGCCTGTGAGTCGTGCTTTCGGGTTCAAACCTGCTGTTTCTGAGCGTTACGGGTGTTTGGTTTTAGTTCTGATATTTCATGATGATGTCAGCTGCTGTTAACTCTGCTCACCTGACGAGGATTTCAACTAAACGTTAAAAACAACAATAAAATAATTTTATTGATATTGTTCAATACCACAAATTATTAATTTGCCGCCAAGGGCTTTAGGATAGACGGTGCTGTATGCTGTACAGATTCAGCATACAGCACCGTCTATCCTTAAAGTCTTGATACAGATCAGAAATAATCTCTGTAAACAGATATCTGCATATGAATGCGTTCTGGTTTCTGTTTGTAGTCCGAATAGTATTGACCAATAAAATCTGAGCTGGTTTTGGTTGCATGCAGGTCAACAGTCCGTGTGGAGAGCAAATAAGGCAGAAACCATCGGCTATCATCTGATGAATATTTAACTTCAGATTAGCTTTTATATCAGATGACAGCTGATGGGCTCTCAGATTGCTTATCGGACTGTAAACAATGACAAGAGCACAGAAGAGGAAGTCTGGGCCTGGACATCTGCATCTTCTTCTGAAGAGTCAGAATCAAGTGAATTAATGAAGTGAATCCTCTGGGGACCAAGAATGTCTGAACAACAATGTCAATCCATCCATCCTTTGGTCCAGGTCCAGTCCATCTGGACCAGCAGACATCAGCATGCACAGAGCAACACTGCTAGTGTGTCTAAAAAGACAATAAAAGAAGAGACAGTCATGTTGATATGAACATTAGAGAAACACATCATGCAGCTGAAATATGATCCTGGTTCATCATCTGGACTCGTTCACCTCAGCTGACACATTCAGCAGCTGACAGGTTTTTGTATTACTCTGTTTCACTGTGGCTATGACATCTTTGGCTCTGGAACTAAACTGTATGTAACAGGTAAGAATAAACATTTATTTTCCTTCAGTTGTTTTATTGAACAAGTTCAAATGTGTTTTTAATGAGTTTCTGCTGCTTCAGGCTTCAAATATTAGTTTGTTCATAATTAGTAGAGTTCTTACAGCCGTGCAGCTATTGTTACATAAAAAGGTTCATAATTGCTGAAAAGATGTTTAAATCTCACTGCACAACTGAAGTTATTCTTTATTTCTGCACCAGCAAAACTGATTCATATGGAAAAAGTAAGATATTGACAAAGTTGTAAATATACAGTATTTGATCCTCTCAGTGAGTCAGCGCAGTCTATTGTTTTTGAAAAGACATTTTACTATAAATATGTTGTACAGGATAATTTATTAATTTTAAATAATAAAATTTACATCACGACAGTCAGATACTGATAATATTGCAATAACTATAATTTATGTATTTATATATGTGAAATAGAGTGATAAAGTCGCTCACACAAATATATTTGCATTTTATACTTTTAATATAAATACAAATAGTTTGTGATGCTTTATAATTTTAATTATAAAACATGTTTTCAAAAGTATATGGTAGTAAAAATTATGTATCAGGTTCTTTATAATTTTAACATCACATTATTACATTATATTAAAAAGTAATCAGTCAATAGTGAATCTTATTTAATATTATAAAGCTGTCTTTATTCACATTTAACATATTTAACAAAGACATTATTGATGCATTGATTAGTTGTTGAGTGGTTAAAGTTCAGAAATTATAAATAATGTACGTGACTTGACTTGAAATTATTTTATGTAAAGTAAATATGTAATTTGGTGTAATATGTATTTTTGTAAACAGTAGTTTTGATTCTTATGTAATGTTTGATATTATGTTACATTAAAATGTACTTAGATTACAGTATTGTTGTCAGATTTTTGATCATGTATCTGAACATATATGTAAATTGTGTTTTATATAGAATTTTTCAAATTTTAAAACTTTATGAAATTACTGATGCAACAATTAGATTTTTTTTGTTGTTAAAATAAAGTATATGATATATAATGTCTAAGTAAATGTAAAACTATAACTAATTTAATGTGAACGTAAAAAATACCTTTATTAAAATATGTTTATTAACCCTAATATATAAAACATTAAGTTTTTAAAGGAGATATTTCATAATTATATTATAAGAATCCAGCATATGTAGAACTGCTGAATAAGTAAAATTCTTTTCTTTCCTCATATAACATATTAATATTATTATTATTATACATGACATGTGTGATATGAAGGTGAATCCAGTCCATGTAGTGAACTGTGTGCTGTATTGATGAGGAGCTCAGTGATCAGAGTCCATGTAGTTTCCAGGATCAGACTGAATGCAGTGCTGGAAGCTGCTGTTGACTGTGTGAATGTGTGTCTGTGCTGCTTGTTGCTACTGTCAAACTTCAGATAACCCGGTAGTGAAGCCCGTGGTGAGCGTGTACCCAGCAGCATCCAGAGCCCACCATGAGGGGAAGAGCTCCCTGCTGTGTGTGGCCTCAGGCATGTTTCCTCCTCTGGTCCGCTTCTCCTGGAAAAGACGAAAGGAGAACAGTCTGACGGAGGAGCTGGCACCTGCTGAGGAGGAGCAGCTGGAGCTCAGAGAGTCGGGACGCACCGCCGCTATCAGAGTGATTGATCGGGACGCTCTCTACACGTATAAATACCGCTGCTACGTCCAGCACGAGGGGGGGGAAGTGGAGGCCCAAACAGAACAAGGTAATGAAGGCTTGGTGACTGTGTTCAGCAGAGAATCAGCTTCATGTGGAGACTCTGACAAAGAGAGCAGAGGAGCAGAGGACTGACATTTCTTTCTCCTTTTCTGTTTCAGAGGTTCCAGCGATCTGTTTTTTGAACCAGGTGAAACTGCTCTGTGTGCTGTACACAGTGCTGATAGTGAAGAGTCTGGTGTACTGCTGTGGACTCTCTCTGCTGAGGATCCCAGAAACAAGGGACCGTCCACCAGCTGCACACATGCTGACTGACTGTTTTCCGCTCACTTTTTTTCATCTCACTGATCACTTTGATCAGAAGTCAGAAATGTAAGTTACGATGTGCACAGGTTAGATACAGTCATCCTTAAAATATAAAAACATATATACACATATATTTGCAGTTACTGAGTGTAAATTCTTTGGTATAGTGTTAATTTGACACTCTAGTTTATTTCCAAACTATTATTATTATTATTATTATTTGACTTTTAATTTTGACTTGTATAATATCAGAAACTTAAGCTGAATCATTAGCTGTCTGCTAGGTGTTTTATTGTTTACGCTATCTTTCTGTTCTTGTGTCTCTTTTTAATACATTATGCAGAGTGTGGCAGGTTTGTCAAATTCTTTCAGTGTAACTTTCTTAATAAACTGAATATAATAATAATAGTACAAATGTACAGGAAGATATGAATATAAGCACACAGCGAAACAAGGACAACAAAGCTAAACAAGGATGAGCAAACATAAACATGTGTATAAGGCTGTTCTATACAAGTCAGCAGGTCTGGGTGTGCCACCAGGTTCAGTGCTGACTCCCTTTTATAATTGTGTCAGTGTGAATGTAAAACTCTACGCTGATGACACTGTTGTTCACACACATAAACAAACAGCAGAGCTGTTGTTAAACTACAACTGCTATAAAATGATCCCACAGTTGGGCTGAAGTCTGAATGCTGGCAACATGATGGCTGTGTTTATTTCTTCTAAACCAATAAAATGCTGCTTAAGTTTTTATTTTGCCTGCTGCTGTGTTGAAACGTTGTTTAGTTATTATTTCTATATGAACACTTTGCTGACTGATTGCCTGTTAGAATCAGTGTGAGGTAATAAAGTGGGATTAGAGCAGACTGCAGGTGGTTGAACATGAGCTGTTACTCTCACAATTAATAACACAGATCAAAGCTGAGACAGTGAGTACTGAGCGCTGAAATCAAACTGAACTTCCTGGAATGATTATTTAACATGAGTTGAAGGTTGTAACTGTCATTGTGTTATTTATGTGAAAAAGTGCAGCTAGCGGTGAGGAGGCTGCAGAGCAGAAACCCACACAGCCCGTCTACTGCAGGGAAAGAAGTGATGATTGGCTGTCAACAGTTTTTTTATGAGTCCTAATAACCACTGAGAGCAGCTGTACACACTCATCAACTTTTTTCTTGTTATCTGGAAGCCTTTTATTCCACTGAGCCCTCCACCCACACAGAGTTGAACTGAGCCCAGAGACCAACAATGACAACCCACCTGGAGGTCACGTACATGGACTTTATTTATGGAGATTTTAGCCATCAAAGGTGAACTTTACAGTTTACACTTGGTGCTGATGAGAGCCAACAAGTCCTCATACAAACATGACTAGAGGCTACTTTGTCAGAGCCGGAAACAGAAACACATTTCATCACAATCCATCTAATCGTTGTTGAGGTATTTCAGGAAGGGCTTGGTAACAGGAGCTGAAGCAGCAGCAGCAGAAGCAGCAGTAGTAAAAGGCCTCATAAGTAAAGCAGTGTGTTGTTGTAGCCACTAGAGAGCAGCAGTCCTCCCAAATACACTACATACTAATTATATTATGTGTATACTAACTATCTTATACTACATATTACTTCTATCATACTACATACTCATTCTATTAGACTACATTCTAATTATATTATACTACATACTTATTCTGTTATACCACATACTAATTATAATATATGCTAATTATCTTTTACGACATTTTAGTTATATTATACTACATACCAATTCTGTTATACTACATATATATTATATTGTACTACAAACTAGTTATATTATACCACATACTAATCTTTTACTGCATATTACTATATTACTAAGATCTATTTTAGTACTTACTTCTTCCATTACACTAATTATACTTACCATATTATACTACATACTATTTCTATAATACTATATACTACTTCTATCTTACTACATATTAATTCTATTTTGCTACGTGCTAATTATATTACATGCTAATTACATTACACTACATACTACTTTAATTATTCTACTTACTACTTGTCTACACTACATACCAATTCTGCTGCTACAAAGTTCCTGCTCGACACCCATTTTTACAATTATTATTGATAGGTCTATTATTATATTATTATTATTATTATTATTATTATTATTATTATAATTAAATTTAAACATTACTATAATTAACAGTACCATTATTTATTTTCAGTCTGTACCACTACTACCTTTACTGTCTTTACTGTATTTCTGTGTGGATATTGTGTTGGCTGCTAATTAATACTAATTCTATTATACTAATTTTTATTTCTATTACACTAAATGATAGTTCTATTGTATTTCATAATAATTATTTTATGCTAACGGTCATCGGCCTACAGACGGGAGGTTGATCAGCTGGCTCTCTGGTGCGGTCAGAACAACCTGGAGCTTAACACGCTCAAAACTAAGGAGATGATCGTGGACTTCAGGAGGAGCCCCCCCATTCTGCCCCCATCACCATACTCAACAGCCCTGTGTCTGCTGTGGAATCCTTTAGGTTTCTGAGATCCACTACATACCAGGACCTGAAGTGGGAGCCCAACACTGACACCATCATCAAGAAGGCCCAGCAGAGGATGTACTTCCAGCACCAGCTCAGGAGGCTCAACCTGCCTAAGGAGCTGCTGATCCACTTCTACACAACCATCATCCAGTCTGTTCTCTGCACCTTCATCACTGTCTGGTTTGGATCTGCCACCAAAAAGGACAGGAGCAGACTACAACGGACAGTCAGGACTGCAGAAAAGATCATTGGTGCCAACCTGCCCTTCATTCAGGACTTATACTTTTCCAGAGTCAGGAAATGGGCAGGAAACATTACTGCAGATCCATCTCACCGCGGACACAACCTGTTCCAATTTCTCACCTCTGGTAGGCGCTATAGAGCACTTTACTACCAAACCAACAGACTCAGGAACAGTTTCTTCCCACAAGCCATCACTCTAATGAACAGCTGACTCTGACTCACAGTGTGAGGAACGATTCCTGTGCAACCACCTACCTCAACATCATAACACTTGCACAAAATACTTACTTATTTATGTCAGCATTTTTGCACTATGCTCCATCACACTGTGTACATGTATGCATGTAAGTGTACCTGCATATCACATCCACATACAACATGTACATAATAATGATATTAATAATTTTACTCTTGCATCCTTTGCACTGTGCTCACTGCACATATTTGTCAATATCTCTCTATTATTTTTGTTTCAGTTTATATTGTGTATATTTGTGTTCTCCATACTGTAGCCTGTGTCTGACTTTATTATTGTGTTATTGTATTATCATTGTATGAGTAGGCACATCGTGAGCAAAGTACAATCCAAAGTCAAATTCCTCAAATGTGTACACACACCTGGCGAATAAAACGGATTCTGATTCTGATTCTGATCCAGAGTAACTATATTTTTAGATAATGCGTCTCGGACGTGTTTGGGCCCCAGTACAATAACTTCAGTTTTATCTGAATTTAACATTATGAACTGTTAGAAGAATCTTTACCAAAGAACGACAGGTCACTGGAGTCACAATCAGTGATCTTTCATTTGCAAGGAGTCAATACATGCACTACAATGAATACAGAATAAACTAACGAGAAGGGCTCGACACTGTTTTTAAACATTTGGTTAAACCCATTGTTTTCCATGTCAGACAAGGTAGCTGACTCTTTATCTAGGTCACATGATCACACGGATGTAGACAGGAGCTGTCATCTACATTACGCCATGTCTCCCTCCCGTAGGCGTTTCCAGCTCTCTCTATGCACAAGTTTCATAAATTCACTGAGATTATTAAATGCTTCTTTGTTTAGACAGGCTTGCAGAAGTTTAAAATACTTACATTACATTTAGCTGACGCTTTTATCCAAAGCGACTTACAATTGCTTTATATGTCAGAGGTCGCACGCCTCTGGAGCAACGAGGGGTTAAGTGTCTTGCTCAGGGACACATTGGTGGATGGGTCACCCCATCACCACCCCACCACTTAAGCATAGCACGTTTTTCTAGCAAGAAATAAATAAGATGTTAGAAATACTTTAATCCAGGTTTTATTGATATGTTTCTTGTACATTTTGTTCTATGACTGAAAAAACATCTGTCCACTCCATTGGAAATGAAGTGCCATAGGTTTTATTACACCTTATTGTATTTATTTTAAATTATTTTACTTTGAATTTAAACAACTTTGTGTATTTATACCACTTTCTCTTAGTAAATGTTCAGTCAAGGGCAACTGGACTTGGTTGAAGATACTGGAAGACGTTTCGTCCCTCATCCAAAGGACTTCTTCAGTTCTGACTGACTGGCAGGGAAACTCAGCTATTTAACCTCAGTGGGGTCGTTGGCCCGGGTCATCGATACCGCTGGTTCGTTAGTGTTCCTTGTTGCTGTGACGACAGTCGTTAGGACTACCTGTGGCCAAGACTGAACGACCATCGTTGGTATCTTCACCTGAGGCCAATAGGTTACGTTTGTTGAGTTTCCTGGGAAGTGATGAAAGGACAGCATTGTAAGTGGGGGATAAGTGGTGGCGTAGACCCCCTCCCCTGTTCAATGACGGCTTCTCGACCCGGGTGTAGATGCTTCCTTGACACCTCTTTCAAACCATCCATCTTCTCTGTCTAAAATGTGCACCTGGTGGTCCTCAAACGAGTGTCCTCTGTCCTTCAGATGTAAGTAGACTGCAGAGTCTTGACCTGAGGAGTTGGCCCTTCTGTGTTGAGCCATGCGTTTGTGTAGTGGTTGTTCAGTCTCCCCAATATACAGGTCTGTGCATTCCTCACTGCATTGGACCGATACACTAGATTGCTTTTCTTGTGTTTGGGTGTGCGGTCTTTGGGGTGGACCAGCATCTGTCTTAGTGTGTTCTTGGGTTTAAAAAACACAGGGATGTTGTGTTTGTTGAAAATCCTCCTGAGTTTCTCTGATACTCCAGACACGTATGGAATCACAATGTTGTTGCGTTTGACCTTCTTTTCCTCCCCTGTAGTTTTGTTCTTCTTGGATCTTGTGGCTGTTT